AAAGGAAGAGGGGAAAAGTGTACTTCGTGGGAAACACATCTTCATCGGATATTCATCAGAGTTTCTCCTCAGCAGGACTATTATTATGCGGCAGCATACTTCAAATAATAGAAGCGGCAGTGAAGCAGTGAAGCAGTGCAGCAGCGGCCATGAATATAATGCAAGAAAAACAATTTGATAGAGGCGGTGAGACAGTCTGGTGCGAGGGTAAAAAATCTCATCAACAAGGAGAGCAAAACGGGAAGAAATATTGAATGCAATTTTATTTGCCACACACTGCTGCTGCTGTGCTTTGGAGCAAGTGCAGCAGACCGTTTGGCGAACTGCTGGGTGAATTATGGAAATGTATCATATTATCCTGCTGGCGCTCCTGTTCCTGGATAATCCCACAAGGGTGTGTGCGTGTAACTACGCTACTTACTGTCTGTCTGATTATGTTTGTATCGGGTACTGCCGCACACACAAACACTAACACTCTTCGCAACCACGTGGCAAATATTCTGTTCTTGCAAATCCACTTTTACACCACAGCCGCGACTTTAAGGGCAAACAATGCCATTCCCATACACATTTACGAGTATCTTTCCCAGCTCCATGCATCCTCTACACCTGAGGTCGATCCTTTTGGCAACCACATACAGTTTGATAAAAGACGCAGTCATGGCAACCCATCTGGCTGCCACTAAATGAGTTGGCCTGTGGCAGAAAAGTCTGCCACCGCACCCACACCCGCACCAGGGCCACAGCCATTCTCCTGTGCACCTCGGCAGATATTTGTTTGTTTGGCTTTCCATGTTTTCGTGCATTCATGCGAAGCTCCTGCCCCAGCCCCAGCCCCAGCCCCAGCCCCGACTGCATATGACGCTGGAATCTGCTCCGATTGTTCTCCATTATGAAATGTAGGGTATGGTCCCTTCCCTCCCTTCCCACTTTTGGTGCTTGTGCATTGCACGAATATCTCATCAAAATCTAGTTTGAGATTTTTGATTTAATTTGACTTGGTTTCACTGCTCAGACCGGATGCAGACAGAGTTTATATTTTGATTTGCTTGTGTTGGTCGTAGTCTTGGTTTTGTTTTAGTTGCTGGTCCTGTTTACGACTGTCAAAAATCTGTCTCTATTGGACACATAAACGCTTGCGAGAAGAACTGTCCGTCAATTTAGAAATGGACACGGACTCGCAGTGGACTAGAGTAAAAATATAAAAGCAAATTAAACATAACTTGAACGTTTGCCAAACGAAGGGAAAATAATGAAGGAAAATCTGGGAAATTATATTAAGGAACAATTTATAAACAATTTGAACATTTCGCCTATTCAGAGAAAATTAGAAAAAATAATGTAAGGGACTATAAAAAGGAAGCAAGGTATAAAATAGAATCCATTTTTCAATTAAGAACACTTTGAAGGTGCACTCTAATCAATTCAAATTCAATTAGTTCTTTTTTCCAAAAATGAAATAATACACATTCCATGGGAAACCAAATGATGGACATGTTCGAATGCACCACAAATCAAATCAGTGAAAAATTAGTTGTAATTCAATTGGGAACAGTCGCGTCGCCGCTGTCCTAGTCATTGACCCAACTTGCCACATGTCTGGGTCCTAATCCCCTTAGAGAAGCAGCCACCAAAAGGCAGCAACTTGTTGATGCCACGACTGTTGGGCAGTTCTGCAATTCATAAAATAAAAACAACTACAGATAGTGGTGGCTTTCAGGTGCGAGTACGAGGATATACTGGTGTGGATGTGGACCTCCAGGTGTATCCAAGCGCTGACAAATATTTGACGTTTTAGTCTAATTAAATTAGCTACAACGCCGCTGGCCGGCCCAGCCCTCGGGAAAGGTATATATTTCCATGTGGCAGTTGCAGCGTGTGAATTCCGCTAGTGCCACGTTCTCGTTCTCGTTCTCGTCTCGGCATTGTCGCGTTGTGCCTCGCCGTGTTAGGCCCCAAAAATGAAATACAAATAAAATAAAATAAAATAAAATATTATACTCGTACACACAAAGAGCATAAAGAGCGTAGCGTATGCAACGTGCAATTGTTATAAAGTATATAAATTCACAGTCCCCTGCCTAAGCCGCTGCACATCCGTACACGTATGAAACCCCAGTGTCCATTGTGCCATCGAGTTGAACAATTGCACACGTTTTTATGCGCTGGAATGCAAGAAGTAAGTGGCTTAAGAGCAGTCCGAGAAGCAAACTGAATTATGTGGCTATATTGGACTACCCAGGGGACGGAGAGCTGAGCGGTGGAGAAACTTCTGCTTCCGTTCGGTTCGGGACAGGGCTTCCTTCCGTTAAAAGTTGTCAGTGGAACTTGCCCGCAATCAAGATTACCACTTAGTCTCCATGCAGATTAAAGTACTTTTTGTTACATTTTATTTTACAAAGTTCCGCTTGACTCTGTGCATAATTATGACACCTCGACGGATCCGACACTTTTGTATTTATATATCCTGAAAAGCGAACCACTATTAATCCAAATATAAGCGATGTGTTTTTGTCCTTCCTTTTACTCCATCAACCGGCCTGATAAAACCAAATTTATGATGGCACTTTTATGTGCGAATATAAATGTGTACTTGTATTTATCTGTTAAGCGCCAAACGTCACCCTGCGCACTTATATTTCTATCAAGTTAATTAAACAATTCCCTCTTTTTCCTCTGAATATATATTGTAAACAATGGTAGACCAAACAGGAAGTGTTTTTATGGCCCAGCCCTCTCGATGGTTCAGTGCTTTTTTCTGCTGCCTTAAGTCCGGCGGAATATGCAACGCGTGTGCATTTTTTGTGCGGATCACAAGCACTTTTAAATGCGTCTGAAATATTTGAAGCAAAAACATGTAGTGCGAGTGCAATTTTTTCCGTTTGCGGCATTTGAAGCACTTTACATTCGCATTGATGGGAAAAGGCTTATTAAACATTAATTTCGCTGTGATCGATGAAAGGTAGAGGGAGCAGGAAGCAGTGAGCAAAAATCCCCACAATGAATCATAGAAATGATTTGTATTGGCCAGCCGATAGAAGGGGCTGTAAACATTCAATTAAAAGCCAAAAGAAATATCAATAATAATTACAGCAGCTGGAAATGCAAGAGAGCAACGTGAAGAGTGAGAACATTTAAATGAAAATAATTCCACTTGCGAGGAAAAATAATAATAGTTCGTGTGTACCTCTTGTGGAAATGAGTGAAATAATTTCTTTGCTGAAATATGTAAGCTGTGATGTGTGCTTTTCTGTGTAGTTTCGCGAATGATTCCGCCGGTGGCACGACGAGTGCGGAGTCCAGCGTCTGATCTGATCCGGAGAGTTCTCTAATTAAGTTTGCAATTCCTGAAAAGTTTCTGTTCTGAACTCAGAAAGGGCTTAGTCGAGGCGGCCAATGAGAAAAACATTATAAACAGCTTAAATGGAAACTTTTTGCCAGCAACCAGCAACCAGCAACCAGCAGCCAGAAGCCATAAACCAAGACAAAAAGCCCCGGACACGCACATGCACACCCGTCGACACAGTCGGACATAACTATAAAGGCAAAATCAACTTGAAAGTTGCATTTGGCCGGGGCTTAGTGCTGGAGTTTTTTGGCTTAGCCTTTGTGTATTTAAATATATGTATTTAGATCTGAATGGCTATGTGGTAAGTCCCTCCCCCTCTGCCTGCCTGGCATTTGGCTGGAGCTGCAGTGCCGGAGCTGGAAGTTTGCAGACGACAAAACACATTCATGCTGCACCGTATGGAATATTAATTACAATCCGCTTTTTGTTAAGTGAATTATAAACCAAAAACTGTATACATTGAAAGACAGACAGAGTGAAAAATCCAACATGGGTCGCATTAAGAAGAAGAAGCTGCCGACAGGTGTAAGTACGAGCAGCAGATCAAATATATTTCGTAGAGGGTATTGGGTACTCCTTGCCAGTCGCCAGCCATTAGCTGCCACTAAGCTTAAATGTGGGAAATGGCGCATTTCATTTCCATGCCATTTAGTCGGCCAACTCCGACTCTAGAGCCAGAGACAATCAGCCGCCGAACAACCGCCGCCGCCGCCACCGCCGCCGCCGCCGCCGCCACTTTGCACTTAATTTTCTTGCAAAAGTGTGTTTATTTTTTATTTATTTACAATTCCGTTTACACGCACGCACACACACAGCAGCTACACTCATGCACCCACCAGAGCACCAGAGTACATGTCTGTTTAAAATATGCCAGGTATCGTCTGGGAGCGCCACTCGCAGTGGCAGTGGGAGGAGCCGCGCCACAACAATGGTGGGTGGATGCTGTATCCCACTGGGATTACCACAACCTTTGCTGCTCGAGGAGAAGAAGTTCCTGCTGGCTGTGGAGCGTGGCGATATGCCGAATGTACGCAGGTGAGTAGCTGCTCGCTTTTTATGCCACCTACCGGGTATCGCTAGCCTACAGGAACATTAGCCTCGCCTCCGCTCTATACTTGACTCCCTGAGGAGGGGTATCGCCCGTTCGTTAGCTGTACTTGCCGTGGGAATAACAGGTGTCGACTGGGTACGACAGTGTGGGTGGGGCGACATAAATCGCATCAATTGCTGCCGCTACGGCAGCGCGCGGGTTGCTTTCAATTATTTGCATTGCCGCCTGCCTGAGGGCCTCTAACGGTTACCTAACTTGTATCTTACATGCCACTTAAAAAGCAATATGAGGGAACCACACAGCACATACTTATATGTACGTACGTTTTTACATGTTTGTAAATATGTATCTCTGTATGTAAGGTCGTTCTCTTACAGAATTATTAAAGAACCTCGCCTGGGTTAACTTCCATCCAATAGCAGAATCAGATTCATATATATTCTGCTGCTGTCAGACAGGGCTGCCACACTCCCAATCAATGGAGAATCGAATATTTCCGATGGCAACTCTGCATGAAAAGGCATAGAAATCGCTTGCCATTCGTGGTTCTCATAGTATAATTCTAAACAAATTATTATATATTACTTTAATCGATAGGGAAACGATACATCTTGTACTTTTTATTTGGTGCTGTGCCCTGCTCTGCTGTGCTTGTGCTGTGTAAGGAGCAGACATATGTACATTGTGGTGTTGTGGCCCGCTACGTTTATGTATGGTGTGGCTGTGTCGTGTTTCCGGCTTAAGGCTTCCGGTCGGCTTAGTCTTCGATATCGACTAAGCGATAGGGGTTGAGGCTCTTCATCTCCTCTAGTGTGTAGCGGTACGAGTCCTGGGGCATCTTTTCAGCGGATGGCGTTACCAAATAGTCCTCGATTCCCTTCATGCGGCAAGCCCGGCGATAGAGCTCCTGCTCGCGGTTCATGTAGAACTGGCACGAAGACGATGGTTGACGGGGAACGAATGCCTGGATAGTCGCCAAGGGGTGGCCGGCGTAGCTTTGTCCCACAGTCGGAAAGGCAGCGACCTGAGCGAACCAGTTGTTGGAACCCATTTTCATGGTCTGCGTCTCTGTTCGGAGTGTAAGATAGGATGGAGCTGAAGAAATGGTAGGATGGAACCCACACCTATCCTTGTGTGTGCTTACCCTTGTTCTTCTGGGCCATCTTGATGACGAGTGCCTTACACTCTTGGGCTCCGGCTTCCATTCTAAAATCGGTTTAGAATTTCTGACAAGTAATTTAATCGCCAAAAAATGTTTTTTTTTTCGTTTTGTAAAATTTTGTTCTGTTTTTCTAGTCTCTGAATTTTTTACAACAATTTATGTTGGCAAACGAACATAAACTGACGAGTTTCGGCTCCACAGCCTGAAAGGTAGACTCAAATTTTGACTGCCAAGATTCGTGGCTAACTTGATTTCGATTTCGAGCAAGCTGTCCCTGCACAGTGCGCCCAAAAATATCGATGGAAACGAAATGGAAGCAGATATCGAGTTTCCACGTACCCATATTGATTCCTCCGTGTGCCCATAACTGTGGGAAGCTGCTTTTTTGGCACTCGATTGATTGGCAAAGTTTTCATTCTTTTTTTTTGTTTGCTGGGCCAGTGTCGAGTCCTCAGCCCCAGGGCCTCAGGGCTAATTAGAAACTTTGCCTTCAAATTTGAAAGGACAAAAATATTGTGGGTCGTAAAAAAAAGAGGAAGTAATTTTTCCATATAATTTCTGGCCGAACTTTTCCATGAATGTAGGGATTGTCCTCCTGCCCCTTTAATGTAATTTTCAATAATTAGAAAATGCGATATTTCCATTCAGAATCCTGCAGAAGGCGCTGCGCCATCATCACATCAACATTAACTGCCTGGATCCATTGGGCCGACGAGCCCTCACTCTGGCCATAGACAACGAGAACCTCGAGATGGTGGAGCTGCTCGTCGTGATGGGAGTGGAGACAAAGGACGCCTTGCTGCATGCCATCAATGCGGAGTTCGTAGAGGCCGTGGAGCTGCTGCTCGAGCACGAGGAGCTCATCTACAAGGAGGGCGAGCTCTATGTAAGTCTTAGCCACTCCGCTCCCCCTGCCAGACTGCTGTGCTCAGCTAATTTGTGGTCGGAACGGGACCCGTAGCCAGAGTGGGTGCCGGCTTAGGCCCAGTAAGACAAGGGCTAACACGATTTTAATCAGTTTCCGTGTGTCGCCGACCCACACTCTGGGAGTCACGTACCGACATCTTATGCAGGCTCAAGTGATTGGGTGTGCGCGATAAGCGTCCAATGCCTCACCCACTCCCCTCTTCCTCTCATTTATGCTCCTTTCACATGGAGTTGTCTGGGTCCCAAGTCCTGCTCCTGCCGACTCATATTTATGCACACGAGCACGCTTCATTAGGCAGCCATTGGGCGCTATTGGAGCGTGAAAATTACTGTTGTGACGCATATGCAATAAAACGTTTAACAGGCTTAATGTCATCCACAAATGAAGCCAAACAACAACCGCTGCTGCCCAGAGAAACTTCTACGCAAAATTGAGAGTGTCTGATTGAAATTGACAGTCTGAATGTGGATGAGCAATTCGACAATTTAATTTCCAATTGTTCACACATCCACGATTTGGATGGCCATAATACGGTAGTAATCTTGCGCGCAAGTTGTCCGTTGCCCTCTAATTTTGAATAATGTAAACAAAGTGTGATCGATATTTGAGGAGACGTGTCAACCCTAGAAGTGCGGTCACACTACCCCATAAACAGAACACAAACAAAACTTTAATCTGTGCAGAATGCAGAATAACCACTTGGCTTTCTTTGCATATCTTATCGCTGGCAGAGCTGGCAGAAGGTGGACATCAACACGGCCATTTTTGCGCCGGATATCACGCCATTGATGCTGGCCGCTCACAAGAACAACTTTGAGATACTGCGCATTCTGCTGGATCGGGGAGCGGCTGTGCCAGTGCCCCACGAAATACGGTAAGTTGGAGGCAACGGCAGCTTGTGCGGGATTACGGATTACCTTTTCACTGCACCAACAGTTGCGGCTGCGAGGAGTGTATGCGCCTCATGGCCGAGGACTCGCTGCGGCACTCCCTGTCGCGGGTGAACATCTATCGGGCCCTGTGCAGTCCCTCGCTGATCTGTCTTACCTCCAGCGATCCCATCCTGACCGCCTTTCAGCTCTCCTGGGATCTGCGGAACCTGGCGCTGACTGAGCAGGAGTGCAAGGCGGATTACATCGAGCTGCGGCGTCAGTGCCAGAATTTCGCGGTGGACCTGCTTGACCAGACGCGCACCTCCAACGAGCTGGCCATCATCCTCAACTACGATCCGCACATGTCCAGCTACGAGCCAGGGGACCGCATGAGTCTGACACGTCTCGTCCAGGCCATATCCTACAAACAGAAGAAGGTTCGGCTCGCTCTTCTTCCCACACATTGAATGGGAGCTAATGTTCTTTGTTGCCTTTGGCAGTTTGTGGCCCACTCGAACATCCAGCAATTGCTCTCCTCCATTTGGTACGACGGGCTGCCAGGCTTCCGTCGCAAGAGCATCGTGGACAAAGTCATATGCATCGCACAGGTGGCTGTGCTCTTTCCCCTGTACTGCTTCATCTACATGTTTGCCCCCAACTGCCGGACGGGACGGCTGATGCGGAAGCCATTTATGAAGTTTCTCATCCATGCCTCCTCCTATTTGTTCTTTCTGTGTGAGTTCAACGTTTGTTGCGGCCTGTCCATTGTCCAAAGTAAACAGCTGGAGCTCCGATTAATGGCGACTCTCTGGACTGAACGCTCACTCATTGCTGTTTGTCTTTCAGTCGTCCTCATCCTCGTCTCACAGCGGGCGGATGACGACTTTGTGCGCATCTTTGGCACGACGCGTATGAAGGCGAAGCTGGTGGAGCAGGAGCTGCGTCAGCGGGGCCAGCCACCCAGCAAGCTGGAGCTGGTCGTGGTCCTGTACGTGGCGGGTTTTATGTGGGAGGAAGTGCAGGAGATACACGCCGTGGGCATGAAGAACTACCTGCGCAACATGTGGAATTGTATCGACTTTCTACGCAACACTCTCTACGTGAGCGTCATGTGTCTGAGGTGAGTACCAGTCCTCAGTCCCAGTCTGCTGCTTGTTCAACTTTCTTTTCTTTCACTCGCAGGGCCTTTGCCTACATCCAGCAGGCCACGGAAATAGCCAAGGATCCACAGATGGCCTACATACCGCGCGAGAAGTGGCATGACTTCGATCCCCAGCTCATAGCCGAGGGCCTGTTTGCCGCCGCCAATGTCTTCTCCGCCCTAAAGCTGGTGCACCTCTTCAGCATCAATCCCCACCTGGGCCCACTGCAGATATCGCTGGGCCGCATGGTCATCGACATTGTCAAGTTCTTCTTCTTCTACAGCCTCGTGCTGTTCGCCTTCGCTTGTGGCCTCAATCAGCTGCTCTGGTACTTTGCCGCACTCGAGAAGAGCAAGTGCTATGTCCTGCCGGGCGGAGAGGCGGACTGGGACTCGCACGGCGACTCCTGCATGAAGTGGCGTCGCTTTGGCAAGTAAGTCCAGTCACCAAGCCAATTATCCAGCCAGGCCTCATAAGCTTGTCCATTCATTCAGCTAATTATGGTCGCTTCTCTTTATGGCCCAGAGCATATCGGTTTCTTACCTTTCCTTTCCTCTTCCTGCCTCTCTTCCTGTCAGCCTGTTCGAGTCGTCGCAGTCGCTGTTCTGGGCCAGCTTTGGCATGGTGGGCCTGGACGACTTCGAGCTGAGCGGCATCAAGTCGTACACCCGCTTCTGGGGCCTCCTCATGTTCGGCTCGTACAGCGTCATCAATGTGATTGTGCTCCTGAATCTGCTCATTGCCATGATGTCCAATTCGTATGCCATGATTGATGTAAGTAGCTTCACCCACTCCGCAACCCGCAGAGCGTAAATTGTCCAAGGTATCTCGTGTTCGCAGGAGCACTCGGACACCGAGTGGAAGTTCGCTCGCACCAAGCTGTGGATGAGCTATTTCGAGGACAGCGCCACCCTACCGGCGCCCTTTAATGTCCTGCCCTCGGTGAAGTGGCTCATTAGGCTGTTTCGAAAGTCCAGCAAGGTCATCGATCGGCAGCGTTCCAAGGTACACTTTGGAGTCGGAATGACTCTAACTGCACATTCTGATTTTATTTTGTGACCACCTCCCAGCAGAAGCGACTGGAGCAGGAGGAGTTCAACAAGTACGACAACATCATGCGCTCGCTGGTGTGGCGCTATGTGGCGGCTATGCATCGCAAGTTTGAGCAGAATCCCGTCTCCGAGGATGACATCAACGAGGTGAAGAGCGAAATCAACACGATGCGATACGAGATGCTGGAGATATTCGAGAACAGCGGCATGGACGTGTCCTCGGCGAACAAAAAGGAGCGGCGTAAGTAGAAGCTCGGCCATTCCTTTGTTGCCTTTGCTGGGTCCATGCTCTTCCATTTCTCATGTGTGGAGCTTTTACAGAATCCCGACCTAGACGCATCAAGGTCTGGGAGCGAAGACTGATGAAGGGCTTCCATGTGGCTCCGGTTCAAACAAGCGGGGAATCGGATGCCTGCTGCAATGTCAACGGCGAAGGCGATATGCGGGAGGTCAAGGTCGAGAGCATACCCTCCCGGAAGGCCAAGGAGACAGCCCGCGAGAGATTCCAGCGGGTGGCCCGCACCGTGCTGCTACAGTCCACCACCCACAAGTGGAACGTGGTACTCCAGGGCACGCTGCCCAACTCCCAGATCGGACGCTGCACCAAGAACGAGCGCAAGAACCTACAAAATCTGGGCAAGGCCATCGAAGAGGCCAAGAGGTGGGTCTTATTCCATATTGCAGCTCACATTTCAAGTTGTTTCCCCTTGCAGGCTTATCATGCTCAATACCGGCTGTTCCTCGGGTCGCGAGTCGCCCATCCGCATCGAGTTCGAAGATGAGAAGTCGAGCACCTTGCTGCAGCTGCTCAACCAGATAAGCGAGGAGATCAGCCACCGCGAGCGTCCCCGAATCAAACCCATGTGGCGACCACCGCTGAAGTCCGTGAGCGCCAGGGCAATGGCAGCCAACAACGGCAGGTCCCATACGGCGCCCGAGTTGAAGATTAGCAGGAAGTCCCTGCCGCCAACAGCTGCAGCTAAATCAACAGCTACAGCGCCAACTCCAAGTTCCGTTTCTCAGCTGCCTAGCAGTCGATCACGAGAGCTGCCTTTGTGCCCAAGTAAACTAGTGACAGCTGCTCCTGCTCTCAAGAAGACAGCACCCATAACTTCAGCCACATCTTTACGAACTCCCTTCTCCGTGGAGCCGAAGGGTCGAGGACATATCTCAGATGGTGTGTCGGCGGGTAATGCAAACTCATTCAACATCCACGTGGTCGATTTGGATGAGAGTAGAAGGCGCGTAGGCGGGGATAATGGTTCCGATATAAGCTCCATTGCCAGCACGAGTCCCCAGCGGCCAAAGAAAGGAAACTAAATGTGATTGTGGCACGGACACTGACACTGACACTGACACTGAAACCGAAACTGGTGATAATTCGCTCTACAAATGGGGCCAGCAGAGGCAGATGTCTCACAAATCTATCCACAAATACTTTACTTGCGAGTACACTCGGCAAACAATAAAATTATTTGGCAAATTCAATTGAAATGCTGCTCATTCAATGTAATTCAATACGAATGGAGCTAATTTATTCACACAGCATTCACATGAATGGCCAGGAATTAGCTGACATAAGCTGGGACAAGCCGAAGTGGGTAATACCCTTTGTCGTTGCCAATAGATTCAGTGTATGAATTATTTACCATCCATAGACTGCGTAGCCCAACAAAATAAAGTAATCCTACATATAATCAAATTGTTTTCCAGTTTTTAGCCAATTTGCACATTTAGAATATTCCTTACGGCAATTAACTGATCGATCGTTCATCCCCATGTGTGCATGTCCCACCCGGTGGCAATATTCGATTAAAATTGGAGTATACCCATCCGTTTTTACATAGTCCCCCTCTGACTGTGTCCCATAATGCCATTTACATATACCAAATGAAGCGTACATAGAGATGGGGGACCCTTGGAGCTTAGTGCCCTGCCCAGTCCAGAGTTTTCCGGGTAAAACGTGCGTAAAGTCGTGATCCGGAAGCATCAAAGGCAATTGAGACATCAACATAAACAAGTCGACGGCTAAACGTTCCCTGAATTTCGGGGAAGAAGGCGAAAGAATTATAAATTCAATTTGATGTCATATCAATTGATTTTGTGCCACATCTCTCCCTCTGCTTCATGGCTGCTGACATGCTGCCCTTCTCCCCAGACTCTGACATTGTGACTTGGTTGTTCTGGGGATTTTGATGGGATTGGGATTGGGCTGGGGTTTAGCCCAGGTCCTTGGACTGAACGGAGCTGGGGCTGGGGGCTGGGTGCTGCTGCTGCGGCTGGCATTTGATTTTGATGATGCGTGGCACTTTGAAATTTATGCGCCACTCTAAACACACTTTGTATGCGCCCAATGCCTTGGAAAGATGATGAACGCTTCAAGTTCGAAAGGATCCTGCGAGTGCGTGTGTATGGTGTGAGCAAATGTTTTTCCACCCTGCTCAGAGTGTGTGTGCCGGAAACTTGATGCTATTTGCTGACATTTACGGGGACATAAGCGCAGGTATTATGAGCATTCTTATTCTTTCTTCTTTCGTTTCGAGTTTCTTGGGGAAAATTAAGATAAACATAAATGTCATTTGCCCCTTGATTATTATGGCATCGGAGAGGTCAAATATGCGGCAATAAAGTACGATATGTTAATGTGATTAGGTTACCTTACTCATTACGAGTGTGTACAAGTATTTATGATGGATGTTCTGGGGGGAAACTTTGTTAACTTTGTTTCTTCTTTGTCTCTGGTATCGTCATCTAGTTAGCATGCATGCAGCGTCCACAAGAAGCTATCAAATGACCTGCGAGGACAGAGAAGACGTTTGCAAATTTTGCAAAATTCCATTTATTTATTTACACAAATTCATTTGAATCTCAGACAACATACGAGTACGCATTACATTTCTAGGCAGACGAATTTACACAGAGACGGGGCTAGTTGATGCCTGTATGGATTATACAGTAAACTTATCCTAGAATGGTTCAAGCATGAGGAGGAATGGGAATTGCTTTAGATTAGTGATTGGAGTTTTCTGAACGGAGACAGACTAAGTTTCAATCGGTGCGGGTCAGCTTCAGTCGCACCGCTATCCTCCTGCACTTCCACATGAGCTGCGTTTCGAGGATGCTGAAGGACATGGCCACCAGGACGAGGCCGAGCAACAGGTAGGCGCAGCAGGCATACAGCTGGAGCGCTGGTCCGTTGAAGCTGCGGGCGGGCACGAAATCACCGTAGCCGATCGTCGAGAGCGTCACGAAGCAGAAGTAGGCGCCGTCCACCAGGGACCAGTCCTCCCAAAGGGCGAAGATCACGGTGCCCGCACTGATGTAGCACATGAGGATGAGCAGCACCAGACTAATGGGCACTCGGTGTTGCCGCTCCTCGCACTCGTCCTCCGTCTCCTCGTCCTGCCCACCGTCCTCGGACTCGCTGTGGTATCGCAGCTTCCGCAGCACGAACTGCTCGCTGCCCTGCTGCATGTACTCCTCGTCGTCGGAGGTTTCCGTTGTGGTGGCTGCCCCGTCGTAGAGCGCGGCCGTGGCATGCCGCTGGCAGCGCCGTGTGAGCAGCATCTTCTTGCGGTTCAGTGGCTGCATCGTGTGGCGGTGGAACGAGGCGGCCGTGGCATTCAACAGGCCCCGCGAGCCACTCTGTCCGCAGCCTCCACTCCTTTCACCCGAGTCCTGGGGCACACTCAGGGGGCTGGCTATCAGCGGCACCCGCGAGGGCGTGCCATGCGGGCAGTTGCTGTTGGCGAGCAAAGGAAAAAGCACAAAATTCCAGGAAATATATATTATTTTTACGCTGCAGCTGACCATAAAATAAATCAATTAGGTATAAAAAACAACCCCCCAGGCAGCCTCAAGCCGTAAAAGGAGAGCCGTCTGCCTGGACAGGGCCAATCAATAAGGCATAAAACGTGCTCTATACCTGCAATATCGCCCAGGCGTACATATACGTATACGGCCGGCCATGAGTGCCACAGAAGTAGCTTCCCCTTTGGAAAAATATCAAAATGTATTTTGGCAGCAGCAGCTTGCTCCAGCTCCAGCTCCAGCTCCAGCTTAGCCCACATTCAATAGGAAGGAGCAGTCCAAACTGAATTTGATGCCAGTCCGACTGTCAATCCAATAATCTTCTAAAGCAACAGTCTCGAGGGAACAACACTCGAGCAACACTTCTCTGGAGTTGACTTTGTCGAATCAATTTGGCCAAACATTTATTGGTCTGGCAGCCAATGCTCTGGCAAACACTTGCTCCAGATGCACTTCAACTGCTGCCAGAAGGCAGGCACAGCAGACAGGACAGCCTCGGGGCCTTTTCGTCCGATAAATATGTACATTTACTCAGTTTGAATTTGTCAGCAAATTCCATTTGGATTCAACAGAAACTACTTCACAAATATGGGGTCTGGGTATGAGGAAGGCAATTCGGTTGAGATTAATTGACCCGATTCGGTTTCAGTGCGAGTGAGTGCGCTGCTCGGCTTACAATTAATTACAGACAAGGCTGAAACTGGAGTAGCCGCATCTGCACCGTCGCGGGGGCACAGGTTCACTGTCAAAATTAATTTCCAGCTGACGCTCCCACCGCTCTTTTATTAAATAAAACCCTCAAAATGCACGCTCAAAAGGGCGACGGAAAGCATCATCATCATCCGAGGCGAGGCGAGGCGAGGCATGGCGAGGCCCTCGGCACTCTGGCAGAAAATGGCACCTCCCACCGGCCGCACGCTGACACCGCCACCCAACAACCAGCCAGTGCATAACCTGAAAGGAAAGCGGAGCAGGGATGGAATGCATGGTGCCGTGCCGCTGCTTCTGCTTCTGCTTCTGGCTCTGAAGTGTTGATTTAAAGCGTGGCTGGCATGTAGAAAGTTTGTTTACGCAATTAAATTAACAGTTTCCAACCAAATTTCAGTTCCAATTGGTGGCTGCAGCAGAGCTTTACTTCAGCCTTTGAAGAGTGCTTCAATTTGTATACCAAAACCCGATTTAGGAGGCCTTTGCCTACTAACTGCTGGCGACCGGTGGCACGGCACTTAACCTCTGGCCAACTCATTTATGTGGCCATTAGACCAGTGCACTGGCGGTATGACACATGATACGTACCTCAAGCGCTCTCGCTCCTGCTCATCCTCGTCCTCCATGATGTCCACGTTGCCAGTGGCGTTGGAGCATAGCAGGGTCGACAATGTGGCTGCAGCACTCGAGGATGTTGTTCCTGCTGATGCTGTTGCTGTTGCTGTTGCAGCCATGCCACAGACACCTGCGGCTATAAAACTGTTATCGGACATTGTTGCGGCACCGCCTCCTCCTGTGGCAGCTTTAATGCCGCCAGACAGTTGTGGGCTCGTCGCCGCCGCCGCCGCCGCCGCCGCCGTCGCTGCTGTTGCTGCAGCCGTGTAGGTCAACAATGCAGGAGAGGAGGCTGCTGGTGATGCTGATGCTGCGGTGCTTGTTGCTGCTGTTTTTAATGCATATGGCAATAAATCATGCCTGCTGGATAAATCAGCATCTCCCGTTCCTGTTCCCGTTCCCGTTCCCGCGCCCGCTACCGTTCCAGAGTCCATCAGCGCATTGATCTCGTGTGGCAACGGTTTGGTCACGAACTTTCCGCGTCGCACAGCTGCAGGGATTAAACGTAAAGCATAATAAAAACACATTTCAATTTGATTCCAGGTCACAGAGGGAACAATATAATTAGCCATTAACCAAAGTACAGAAAGAACTCCATGGAATGTTGGCCAAAAAGTTGGATCACAAATTGCCAAATGCCACTTCCGGCAACTTCCTGCCACACACGGTTAGCCCCGACAGCCGCCAGTTTAGCCCGATGGAAGTGGCATTGGGAGTGGCAGCTGGGATGCTGCAAGTTTAGCTGCAGTTAGCGGGGGCACACAGCGGCTGGGTGGATGAACAACCAAAATTATTTGCTTTGCATTTACAAAGTTCGCCGAACAATGCAACAATGTGGCCAACGGTTTTTGGATGCAACTTCCACTTTTCCACCCCATCCGACGCCGCGCAGGGAAAGTTTGGCGTTGACTTTCATTAGCGGCTGGCAGTGGCAGTGGCAGGAAGGATGTCAGAGGCTATAATAACATCTGGCGGTGCATACAGTGGGGCAATCTTCGGAGGTACGAACAATTGTGCAACTAAAATCTGCAGAATAGACTAGCAGATGGTCTGAAGAGAAAGGAGGGGAAGAACTAATTCAAATAAGTTTTTAGCCCCGGCAGCGTTGATCTTTTAGGAAAAATGGCAACCACAGTGGCTGGCTCCCACTTGGCGCCAAGGACCGAACGAACGGAAGCCACTCTTGGGACATCTTTCACTGTGGAGCTGTCAGCAGGACGCTGGCAAAACGCGATGCGGTCTCGGGTCCGGACATGGCCAATTTCAAAATATTTACTTTAACTTGGATGCCAATCGCAGCACCCTGACCCACACACGCACACACAAACACACAAAACACACACACTTGCACACTGGATGGAAGGGTGTGCTCACAAAGATTCATTAGAGTGCATGAAATGGCGCCTGGAAGTGACTTTGGTCATGTGGCATGGCAGCAGCAACTTTGGTAGTACTTTAATGGTGTGGTCTGCCACAGAGGGTTGTTGGCTGTTGGTGTTGGTTTTTTTAGCTGTTGCTGTTCTTGCTGCTGCTGCTGCTGCTGCTGCTGCTGCTGCTGGTGTCGTGTTAGGTGTAGGTGTCGGGGGCAAGGACACTGGGGACAGTGGCTATCCCTTTTGATCTGTGTCCGAATGCCAGTTGAGGACAATTAACATGCATAATGGAATCAATGGAACACTCCGCTGACAAATGGCCAAATCTCACGCTGCAATTTGTTGCGGAACTAAACGGAATTCTCAGAAGGAGTACGAGGAGGAGGAGTAGGAGCGCCTGCTCAAAAGCGTCACGTGCCGCAGCGAGTGGCACACGAAGAGGACCAACAACAAGAGCAGTTAACTTTAATGAGTTTTGCATGCGTTGCACAAGCAGCAGCACGAGCAGCCCGTGGATACCCCACATTCACTTTATTGTCGTTGTCGTTGTCGTTGTCGTCATCGTCTTTATGCCAAGTGCCAAGTCATCATTATCGTCAATAAAACTGTCGCACATGTCGAAAGTTGCCTCAAGTGCATGTTGTCCTTGTCCTTGTTATGTCTCCCCGTTCCTTGCCTTTCCTTTCCTTTCCTTTCCTTTCCTTTCCTTTCCGTTCCTCTCCTCGGCGTGTCAAGCGGCTTAAGTTGAAAACTTTTAATGCCACTGTGGGTAAAGTCTGTCTGCTTAACTCTGTCATTTTAACACGCTGCTGCGTCTGCTGCTGCTGCTGCTGCTGCGGCTGTTACCTGATGATGATGCTGTCAACAAATTGTTATATAATTGAACACGTAAATGAGCTCAGGGAGGGAACACATACTGTAGGTGGGGGAAAAGTGCAGGGCACTGCCGACGATTGGGACGACAACTGGGCGTATGATTGATTGATTAGAGTTTGGGTTTATTTCTGCTCCCAGGTTAGGACTAAAGCTGTCAGGGAAAACATTTTGCGGGCTTTGCATGTGCACAAAGCTGGCACAAATGGTTGATCCAATTAAATTCAGTTTTCATTGTTCGATTTATGCAAATTTTCCCGCTCGACGACTATCATTATCGTTCATTAGCTATTCTCCAGTCTGTGCCTACTATGCAGGCGCATCGAAGCATTTTAAGGTAAACCGCAGAGCCGTGGCAATGGAACAATACTCACCATGAATACTGGCTGTTTGGTAAGCTGGCGGCGGTGGCAATGTTATGGATTCCAGGGTGGCCGTGGACTCGGCGCCTTGGCCCACAATGGAAGGCTGGTCCAGAGCCGAGGCCAGCAGTCGGTGCTTCGAGGAGGCAGGCTGCAAATGAATCGTGTGGTACTTGACCAGCCCAGGCCCAGGCCCAGGCCCAGATCCGGGTCCATGGGCTGCATCTGTCGTCGCGGCCAGATGGTGGGAGTGCTGGGGACTGCCCGCTGCAGACGGTGCAAATGGAAAGTAAATCGTGGCAGTGGCAGGCCCATAGCAATTGGGCGGCATAGCCAGAGGCATTGACCGTAGCATGCTGCTGGGCACGGCGACAAAATTCTGTTGAAGTTGCTGTTGGGGATGGGCATGGCCGTGGGCTTGTGGATGTGGGTGATGTTGCCGCGGTAGACTCGCTGTCGATAACTGCTGCTGCTGTTGTTGCTGCTGTTGCGGTGCATATTTCAACATTGCGCTGCCCGTTGTTGTTGTTGTCATTAGCATGACATCCGGCTGCTGCTGCTGCTGCTGTTGTTGCTGCTGTTGCTGTGGCGGGTAAAAATGTTGCTGCTGCTGCTGATTTAAGCTGTGCAACAATTGACAGGCATCTGGTGACCGGAAAAGGAGTGTAAGCAGAAGCAAACGTGTTAAAAGATGATTAACGACTGGCCAATTGTTAAGCTGACATATGTTGAATCCTTCACTTACCTTCTCCCTTACCCGGTGGCAGCTTGCCCCTTGCTGCCGCCTTCTGTCCTTGTCCGTATTCGTAGCACTCGTTCAGACTCGTCTCCGTGTTGGCCGCATCGTATTTGCAGCTCCTGCAATTGGCCTGTAATTGTATGGGACATTTCTGCTTATTAATGGTCCGTATTCATCGGAGTAAAATAAGGCAGAGTGGGCTAATCATCGGGGAAAGGATCTTTTTCCTTGATTATGAAAGTGTTTGTTGCGGCTGTCTTTCAAGTCTATTTTCGGTTTGGAAGGAATGTCAATAAAACACGTAATTTGCATGGCTTGCCCTTATCCCTGATGCCAAGCTCGTTCCCAGGCGACTGATGTCATACTCGTGGTCCGCCCACAAAGCTGTTTGCGGCTGAAGCCTGCCATCATGTTCGTTGCGGTTCTGTGGCATCATCATGATTTGCCAGAGCAATCTGATGGACACACAAACGAAACGTCTCATGTCCTTTGGCTTGTGGTTGTGGACGTTACAGCATGCGTCATGATAATTGCAAAAGACGAAAGCCAAATGCCAAAATGCCAGAATGGAGAGTGGGAGCAGTCAACACGATGACGATAATAATTCATCCCTTGGGAGCGAATGCGAAACCCCGGCACAAACCGCAAGCTCCTAAAGGCTAAAGTCTTATCGGAGTCTTATACTCGTACATATGCATTGTGTCCGTGTCCGTGTCCGAACAGCCTCAAAAGCGGACAAGACCCCAAAAATCACGCCACACTCCACCACATTTGTGACTTTTCCAGCTCGCATTACGCGCTAATGACTCGCTAAATGCATTTGAGAAGAAAACGTGAACAAATGCACAAATCTTGTTCAACAAAACGAACGAAAAGAGAGGTGGCAGTTGACAAGCCCGAGTGGCTTTCGTTGCAAATGCAAAAGAGTCTGGAGTCTAGGAAAACTATTCGGTTCATCGCGTGCCACTTTCAAGCGATGCTGACTGAGACTCTACCACATTTTGGACAACAATTGAGACATTAAATAACTGCTCATGTATATATAAGTAGAATCTAAGTAGCTTTTAGCGGCTGCCGTGTAATTGTTATAGGGCGGAAAAACTTTTACCCTCGTGGCATTAAAGTGGCTCGCACTCATTTCAATTTACTTAGCACGAGCCCTGCCATGGAAGGAGGAAACTTGTCGAAATTTATGCAGCAGGCACTGGCATTTGACCCAACTCAAATTGCAACAGGGCGCCAAAGTTTTGGCCTGGCCAACTCTTAAAGTGTCGAATGGGCAAAGGACCAGTGAAGTTTTTCTGGTTCGGCCCCCCCACAACAGCCCCCCGCCATGTGCTTGGAAATTTGGGGCTGAAGTTTGCAGTTCATTAAAATCTACCGAGTTGAGTTTGCTTTCAAAATGTTAAGTTATGAAATGAACTTTTTGTTTGCCGCCCTGTCATCTGACAATCAGTCGACTGGCATCGCGATCAAATTTGTTCTGGCGACCGCAAACTCAATTATTTATTTATTTAACCGAGTTGTGACGACCTTTTTTCAGCAGCTCCGCCATTCGTTGTTCGTTGCCACATGACCATAAAGTGGCAATTAAACAGAAATTTGACGTAGCAAAAACCAACAAGAGCATACCACGACGAATAATTGAAAAACCTGTGAATGGAATGACAAAAAATATTGTGCATTCTTAAAGCATTTCAGGGGAGAGTGGGAGAGGTCCACTGATAGTAAGAATCTAGGGCTGGTCTCCTACGTACATGGAAAAACTGGAACTTCTAGCTCTGGCTGGGGGCGCTCTGGCACAAATGTCATTACGGGAGGCCAGCAAATCACTTACAAAACTTATGCACGAATGCATAGAACACGCAAACACAACAAAAGGGCTCGGGGCACCCTAAAAAATATTTCAATATGTACATACACACACACCTACATAAAAATATATACAAATATATACATTGCTGTTAGCACAGCAAATAAAACGCAACAAAACAGAGGGAAAAAATCAAAGCTCAGCCCCAGAACCAGAACGGAACGGAACGGAAAGGAACACAAAAACAATCCGCACTTTGCAGAAAGTATAGCAAATGCCATAGAAGAAAAAACAAGCATAAAAAGTTCTGTTGTTTTTGCCCAAATCAATTACAAACTTTCAGTTTTCCGTTAATAGAAATCGAGCTTACACCCGAAACCGAATCTGAGGACCGAGATCCACTTAAAAGGTTTCTGCTGTGCTGTCGTAATTACAAGTCGTAATAGGAAACCCCGAAATGCATTTTGATTTTCCAAGAGTACTGGTGCTGAGAGCTCAATCACGGCGAAATCAGGTTAGGAGGGAGCAAGGATCGAAAGGAAAAGTACCGAAACTGGTGTTGGTCAAACGGAAAACAAAGGTTTGATGAGCATTTAGGGAACTTCTTCTTAAGACCACAATTTCTTTGGATGTTCAAAGATCCCAATCACATCCTGGCAGGATTAGGCTAGCTTAGGACCCTGCCATTACCATGCACACATGTATCACACAGCAGAGCAGAGCAGAGCAGAGCAGAGCGGAGAGCAATACTAGAGCCAACCCACGCTGTTGTTACTTCATTGCTTCATTGATAAGTATTTGTTGGTGGAACTATAGTGGAACAACCAGAGCACCGAAAAACACTTGGTAAGTAGTGGGAAAAGTTGGAAAAAAAAGCGAGAAAATAGCAGCTAACAAAACTTTTGCTACTGCAGCTCTGGACACACAGAACAATGTCGAAAGTTTGCTCTGAAATGGAGGGGCCGACAAATAGCAGGAGCCATCGTCTGGGTGAATTGCTGCTCCTTCCGGCCATCGAATTAAAATCCATAAAAATGTCAGCATGATGAAGTTGCAGTCAACTTTGCCACTGCTCTTATAAACTGCAGCTGTTGCATGCAGTTAAATAATATCAATCATACGCCATGTTTGACTTACCCCATTGCCAGCTGCCTGGCGACGTTTTGTCGCTGTCGTCGTCGCTGTTGGTTTCGCTGTCGTAGCTGTCGACGCGCTGGCCCCCTGAGCTGGCTTCCTTCGCTGCCGATGCATTTGCAGCTGGCAGCACAGTCGCATGTACGTGCACTGCAATGCCTCGGCGAGCAACGCGCCCAGACTGGACAGGCACATCAGCATCAGGGGCACACCGATGAGGGCGTAGAAAATGGTGGCCAGCTTTCCAGCAGCAGTGCGGGGAGTAAGACTGCCATGACCTGGGGCACACAGAGAGCAAGAAAGAGGGAGATAAAATATTTATTTTACTTATAAGAGTGGGAGAACACAAGCGAGCTCTTATATATAAATTGATGTAACTTTAATGGGAAATCCCCCCAACAGTGGCATTCCTCATGATTTACGGGGAGATTTAGCTGGATTTGGTGATTCTTTTGCAATTCCTGGAGTTATGATTCAACGAAACGATAAGGATAAGGATTGATTATACTTATACTTAAAACTGCAGATAAATCCCTACAAGCTTGTTGCCTAAATTTGTATGCACTTTAACTTTTGGCGTAGCAATTCTCAGATTTAATACTTGCTTAATAATTTCTCTCTCAGTTTATTAACGCCTCCGGACCCTCGGCAGTCCCAGACAACGGACGGAAGTTAATGGCAACCAGATACAGTTAATTTGTAACAACAAACCCATGCCATGCCCTTCGCGCCCATTCACATTGTTCGGCATATGCAAATATTTGGAATAGGCCTAGGGGCGTATACACAATTCGCCTGCTGCCGCTGTAGCTTGCACTCGAAGGCGTCGGCATGTTGTCTATTTGCCCGCAGTGCTCCGCAGTGTAAATATTTGCAGTCCTCCCCACTGGTTGCCCCAAATCATAATAATCAGCTTCAGCTTCAGCTCCTGCTCCTGCTCCTTCTCCTGCCTGGACGCCCCTCTAGATGAACATTAAACATAAATCTAAACGGCTTAGTCGACGCCTTGAGTGGGCACACAAGAGGGCCTGGCCTGTTGAAGGCTAGAGCGGAACTTACCAATTGTCGTTATCACAGTGACGGAGTAGAGTAGGGCTTCGCTGAAGGTCCAGCTCTGTGGATCGCCTGCATCGTAGCCAAAGTGGCCCAGGGCACTGGCGCTGGCTGACTGGAAGCTGGCTGCACCACCCACTCCTGCGGCTCCTTGGCGTGTGGCAGCCACAATGGATCCCTCGAAGCGACGCAGCTGCTCGTGCACCAGCATCGTCCAGTTGCGTTCGTACAGAACGTTAAGTTTCTCTGCAAGTCGTCACAGAGGATGGTGAAGGGAAGAGTAGAAAAGGTTAAGTGTCATCGAAAGGATGTCGAGGACAGCCCGAACCCTTGTGGTAATTATGCAATTTCATGCCAAGCGCAGTGATAACCTCTGGCAGCCTTCGATCTCCCCCTAACCATCGACTCGGCTGACAAGTGCTGGCAATCGCTTATTCTTTGCTCACCTTTTCCACCCACATTCACCCACGCTGCTCCCCCATTGATTTGGGCCAAATGTCTTGAGGCATTTGCTAGCATTTGATGTCGTGTTCGGGTCTGGCAAATTGTAGAGGTCGCTTGTTAACAACAACGATAACAGTTCGAGACGCGTGTGCTGCCCCGCCCCCGTTGCCTTGAGGTGGATTTTTTTCAGACATGCCTCTAGGGCACACTTTTTCCACCCACTCCCACGCCCATTTCCATCGAACTGTAACACTCTGTGAGGAAAACATTCAGAGCAAAGGTTTTTTCTGTTGCGAACAAGACAAAGTGCTTTTCGCCTTTGGAAATGCCTTTTCCTTTTCTTTGAAAACAGATCTGCATAGCATAGCCTTTTGGGAGTGTTTAATTAAATGCATTTTCCGCGCTCTGCCACCTTCAAGGAAGAATGGATTACGAGAATTTAATTAGTGCTCGTATCGAAGAATTTGTGATTGCATTTCTTTCCTTATTATTTATGCAATGCAATCGCAAGAGACGGCATCCAGTGAGTTGCTGGGACGCAGCGCAAATTTGATTCCCCTTTTGCCTAAACCAATTTACTTTTATCCTGAAAAATCGCAACTCATGCGCGTGCGGCAGATAAATGAAGTATGTAGTGGGTATCTATGTGGGAAGGCTGGATGAATGCTGCACGTCACGTCATTAAGCGCGTGGCGAGGTGCTTGCCATATTAATCATACACCAGGTGGGACTCACCTCGAAGACAGATGCGAAAGAGCTAAGGTTAATTGGTTTATTTATGATGTAGAATTTTAATTAAACAAAAACAAGCAGAGCTCTCAAGGCCACCATGGCATCGCGTGAATTGGCGGCGTGCTAGTCGCAGGTGCGACAAAGTAATTAATTTCGAGTAAATCAATGCAACAAAAAGCCGCACGACGGCAAAACGCAACGCAAATGGGTGGAAAAATTATTAAAATTCCGCGCCTGACCAAACATTTGTCTATGCAAATATTTGGGCATAGTTCAATTTGCCGCAGTTGAAAATGCAATTCGATTCGATTCAGCGGAGTGGAGCGTGGAGTGGGTTGTGTGGTTTATTCTAATTAAAATATTTGCATTGGCTCTGTTTGCTCGGCACTAATGGGCAAACGCTGTCCCGCTTAATGCTGAAATTACTTTTATCCATTTTCAGGAAATCAAGGGAGCCAAGCCCGCCAGCAATTTATAAACAATGCGGCACTATGCGGTGCACAGTATTGAGAGGTAGGCGGCGTTAAATAATTGCTCACTCACCCGTTATGATCCAGAGTTCACGGAGACAGTCCTCGCGGCTCTTGGCTATGGCCGCCGATTTGTTCAGATCCTGCGGCGCCTCCAGCAGTGGGAAGATCAGGGCGCCCAGCACCGAGTAGAGCGTTACCAGCAGCATAAGGCCGGGCGTCGAGAGCACCAGCTTCAGCAGCTGTCCGAGACAGCGTTGCGGGCAGCTCTTCTTCTTGGCCATCAGTGTGGCCGTGGTCTTTACCCCCACAGCCGAGCATGGCCCTGACCCTGCTTCGTCAGCAGCATCTCCGTCATCCTCTGGCAGGCGCTGCTTGCCCTTAATCTTGGTCGCCTTCTCAACGTCGGACATGATCGCGCGATGTTCCATTAGTGGCCACCACCGTCTCCGCTAAGTGGGCCGTCTGTCGCCAGCATTTCCGTTTCCGCTGCGGGCCAGGCTTTTTATTCATACGCGCTTTGGCAGCACTAATTACAGCAACGATTTTTCGTCACTTCCAATGTCGCTTTGTACTCTCTCCCATCACTGGGGGAGCGGTCTCCCGTCTCTGGTCTCCGTGTCACGTCTTCGTCTTCCGTCTCAGTCTTGTCCTCCCCCGTGCTTCGCTTTTCTTCTCTCTTTCGTGCTGTCTCGCCGTCTCTCTATCCGCTTGTTGCCTTTAGATAGAGGATTATGTTTTAAGCTGTTGTTGACTCGTTTTTACGGTCGTTGTTCTTGCTGTTGCTGTTGCTGTTGCTGTTGCTCTTGCTGTGGTTGTAGCTGCTTCTGCTTCTGCTGCTGCTGCTGCTGCTACTGCTGCTGACGTGGCATTTACTATTGTTCCTGGTCTATGCACTTCGCATGATGGCTCTTCCTCCGCCTCTTCTTCGGCCGCTTGTACTTTTAAAGTTGTTGGCCCAGTTTATTCCCCTCCGTTCTGTTGTATCGCCTGCCGCCTGCCGCCCTCCGCCTGTAATTGAAAACATTTGTATGCTGTAGTAGTACTAGTGGCAGTATACGAGTATTCATCATGTTCAGTTGCCCCTGTTGCAGTTGCCGCCTGGCTGCTTCTGTTGAAGTGCACTTGGGAGTAGGTTAAGCGCACACAACTGGCCCGGCCAAAAGGAAATGCTACCACGTACTAAATTTGACACTTCACTTAATCTAATTAGCAACTCTTTAAGCCAGCAGCCATTGTTGGACATCTGTCGCTGCACAGCACTATGCATATGTGTGCTTGTGTGTGTGCGTGTGTGTGTATGTGTGACAATCAGTCGGGGGAAAAATGTATTGTGCGAGCATAAAGTTGATTATGCATATAAACTCATTACAAAATGCCAACAGTTTTTCGTATTGATTCAGGCAAGGCAAACAAAATCAGAAGTAAGCCAATAAAGTGTCTTAATTAAATTATAACTTTTTATCAGTGTGTATAATTAATGTAAATTAAATACGTGACTGCATGTTAATTTTTATAGCCATACAAAAAAAGGATTTATTGAAACAAACAAAGCGGAAGTCGACTCAAACAGGCATCCGACAGCAATGTCGGATATCGTGAAATGCAGCTAAAAATTAAGTTAAAACCAACGGTTCACTATCCTTAAGCGCATGCTGTGCGTTTTCGTCATGGTTATTACTCATGCTGATGATGGCAATCCCGAGTAAGTCACTCTTTTGACTTAAGTACTCTTACTTCACGTCCAATAATTCTGTTACAAGTTCATCGTCTCCTTTTTACTTTCCCTTAAACTAATTTGCTTGGCTTCTACGCCATTTGAATATCGATTCGCACTTCAGTGTCGGCGGCGAAGTCTTCCCAGCACACATATTGTTCGCGGTTCATTTAACCCGACTTTGGTACAATGATCTCATTATCACAGCCCATCGACTAAGCCCATAAAAATGATAAGACTCAGAAATGCCAAGTTCACAGAGGCATTGTATTATACAAATTGGATGAGCGTCTGGCAAGACAGACAGACTGGCAAACTGAAGTTTCCTTCCACATCCAACTTTCACACATCAAAGTCCATAATCGTAATGAAGCCGATTCGTGTGGGTTGCTGCATAAGGCGCTCCGGATATTTAGACATTGAATCAATTAAAGCCCAGCCACAGACTGGGCGATTAGTTATTGAAGGTCTCTGAAGAGACGGGTTTTGGTAGCAGGAGAACGCCCACACGCAACATTCATTGATGTTCAGCGCCAAGAACACATGAGTACACTGAGCAAAAGGATGTCCTCCTGCACCACGGTACAGAATAAGGAATACCCAAAATAATTATAATTACTACTCATTGGAATCTCAGTCTTTGGTACAGTTTTCCACAGTGTAGGGAAAAGGAAAACCATTCGTTTTTTCTGGCCACCCTCTTGTGATGAATGCCACAAAAGGAGAGCCGTCTTCGTCCGACTCACGCAATTTACTTAATTGGAAAATAAAATAAGCCAAGGCAGTGTCTGGGCCCTTGGACTGGCACTGGGGCAGGGACTGGAGCTGGCACTGGTACTGGAACCGGAGCTGGCAGGGAGAACTGAATGTGGCCCAGGGGAGGGTGGGCTGAAGCCGGAAACTGTTTGGTCACTGAAACAATGGCCACTTGAGTTCCCTTTCTTTTTATGGGTGGCGCGCATAATTTAATTCGGTGGATGGACGGGCGTATGAGTCGAAGGGGGCTCAAAGGCTGGCAGACTAATGCAAAATTAATGTCAATCGCTGATTTTACCCGCCTCCTGGAAATGCCAATGCCCTCTTGATTGTGCGCTGGCCGACATTTGAACTCCGATGGAGACACGCACCAGCACCAGCACCCAGGCCACACCACACACTGAAGTGGAAAAGCGAGGCCCAGAGAAGGGCCAAATGTCGGTCCGGAAGTTATCCTTTTAGCCAGATTGAAATCAGCTTACAGTCGCTGCTTAATTGAAATGTTTGCATTTCACTATAATTAAAGCGTTTCTCCAGCCTGCGACCCAGTCCCAGCCGAACTCCAACTGACAAAAGCCCTTACAGGGCCAGGACCCCTCTCCCTCTCCCTCGCTCTCACCCTCACCGTAGTTTCCCAGAGTTTCTTTTATTCACTTTGCTTATCCGTTTTTCGCACGTCTTTTTATGAAGCGCCCAGCTAAAGTTTTTAATAGTTAAATATAACAACTTGCTGGCTGGCTGCTGCAGGCAGATTTCCATTCCATTCCCTTCCCTTCCATTCCATTCCATTCCATTCCATTCCATTCATTTCCTCTCCGCCTTTGTCCGGCTCTTCCCTATTATGCAATATTTATGATGATTATTTTTAAATGCAATGACAACAAACGCAGTTTAATTACAATTTTCAAGTCATCAAATGCAGCTCCAGCCTCAGCGCCAGCACCAACCCGCGCCCCAGCCTTAGCCCCAAACCAGTCGCAGCCGCAGAGGGAATCGTGGGTGGAGTTGCTGTCTGACGCGGAAGTGAAGAACAGGACAACAGGGACATCCAAGCAAAATGGCGCTAATGGCACTAGCATTTCCTGCTCTGTCCCTTTCTCCCACTGCCTACTGGGATCGAGAGAGCTTGGCTGTTCTTAAATCCAATTTCGCTTCATAATTTTATAGCTTCGCCAGCTCTGTCTTGGCCAGCTCGCTGTCAGCTCGGCTTTCATCGTTGGTCATTCCCGATTTAATTGCATTGCTGACATTTAGCACCCAGCGCAGAAATCCCACAAAAAAAAATAGTAGGACAACAGGACAAAATGGTAAATGAGCGGATGGATGGGGATGGCAAAGAGCACTGCTTCAGGAGCAGATTTTTTGTCCAACTGACCCTTGGGCCAAATACGATTTGCTGGGTGGTTTTTGGTAATTGAAGTCGGGTCATTTCCTCCACAATCGAGATCCTTTTAATTGGTTTAAAACTGCTGAAAGCTCAAACGAACCAAATGGATAGAAGTTCGCTTCCGTTCTCAAAGCCTTAATCTGATGACAATCTGTTGATACATAACACTGCTGGCTGGTTTAATTTATACACAAAAGCAAATCAATTTCAGCTGAAAGAATGCTCAATAAATGTTTAATTAAATGTGCAAATATTCCATGGAATATCCAAAAAGACAATTGTCTGGCAAAACTGGAAACTAAAATACAAAATAAATTGGTAAAACACCCGCTAATAGGTCAACAAATATTTGCAAGCAACAGAATAGAATGCACCAACAACAAGCAACAAACAGACAAGTGTTGCGCAGTCAAGTGGCAATAATGAAAATTAAATGCGGCACTATTATGGTGGGTTTTCTGTGGGTATATGTAAGTACATATGAACTCTTAGTTTACACTGCTTAGTGGCCATAAAGTCAGTGGAGCGTACAGCAGAGAAGTTTTAGCACATTAGCCACACGATTACGAATGGGACTGCTACAGTGCCTTCGCCAGAGGTGCGAAACAGAAGGATAAACACAGATAAACAGATGCAGACATGGATGCTGTGAGATATCCGCATAGAGCAACGGAGATGGAGACGGAGCAATACACATTATTATGCAATTGAGGGCAGTATGAAGGCAGGAAGGAAGGAAGGAAGGAAACCACTTGAGAGAGTGGCGCACATAATTCATAAAGCAGATAGAACAAAGAGCCAGCAAGGAGCAAGTATAGCCACAAAGAAAGTGGCTGGCAGATGCAGACCAAGACCAACGGACATTAGATGCAGCCACCAGGAAGGCAGGATATAATGACCATGTTAATGCCCAACACAAAAGTGCACTGAAAGGAAATGAGCAAGATAAGTAACGAGCCCGAAAATTCTTCAGCTTCACCTCCCCGGCACCTCGAACAAGTTTCCACAAAACAAACTGTGCTCCAGCTAGGCACGGACTGGGGCCGATTTCTTGGTCGGTTCCTCATTAAACGCACTCAAGTTTCTTGCAACATTCTTAATTATGTTGTAAACTCCTTTGGCCAAGGCACCGAGAGTACAACTTTAAGGCGCGGGGCGAAAAACTGCCCAGCATCTTGGAAAGGATGGGAAAGGGAAAAGTTGGCCAACGCTGATTAGTTTTTCGAGTGCCTCAAGTGCAAGTCAGCCAGTCAAGCGTTTTCCCTCAGTCTGTCATCGAGTCAGTCAGTGGAGCTTCAACAGCAGCAGCAGCAGGTCCAAGAGAGGAACGTGAAAAGTTTGCCAAACTGCCTGGGAAAACAACAAAAACTCATTAAAAATAGCACAACTGCAGCGCTTGCCCCATAAATACGCAGCAGCAACAGTGGTGGAGTAGATGCAGGGGAACAGGATCTGGAAGGGAAGGAAAAGGGCGGCCAAGTCAAGCAGGAAAATGCAAAACTGGCCAACAAATGCACAATAATTAGACGCGAATTTAAAACTCGTTTGGCTGCTAATGAAGACTTCCTTTGTGGCCCAAAACTTAATGGCAAGCAACAACAGAACGATGCTGGTGATGCCGGCCATAAAGCCATGGAGAGCCCAACAATGAATTCTGAGAAAACTTGTAAATTTCGCCAGCGGTAATGGTAATTTAATGTTTACTGAAGTCAATGTTTATACGTACTTGTGAATGTACAATGTGTGCAATACTCGTACTACCTATAAAAGCGTTCAAGAAAAGAACAACCTCTAATGTTTAGTTAACAACAAATTAAAGTTACAATAATAGCCCAGAATTGTACATTTACAACTCTTTAATTCTTTCAAAATGGTTTGTTTGATTACGAATATTTATGAATTATTTTAAATATTTATCAGCAAAGAAAATTGAATACCAGGCAGACAAACAGTTGACCGAGGCGGAGCCACAAGTATTTCACTCAAGGGCCACAAATATTGTTGTGTTGAGAGGTATATCAATATACGAAAAGTTACTCAAAGTTGCCCAGAGTGTGTTTTAAATATCCGTTTGGTTTTTCCACTCGAATAGTTAAGGAGATTCTGCCCTTGGCTGTTGCCTTGTGGCTGTAGTTCAAC